CATCACTCGCTTTCTCTTTCCTATAAAGCTGGCAGTTATTTTCACAAGAATGAATTCTCACATAACTAAGCCCAAGCTTTCCAACGATCTTCTTCGCCTCAGAAAATGTACTAGGTAAATTCTTTCCATTAGGAATTGCTTTCTGCAGAACTGCTAGCAAATCATTTAAAGATTTATTGCTCCACTTGTTAGTGGCTTTTATGTCGAAGAGAATAACAACAAGAGAAAGGATGGATAGTTCACAGCCTGGCCATAAAGGTTGATCTGCATCTCTCAAAAGGTCATAGAAAGCTTGTGATTCAGGGTCTGGTCCTGGTTTAGACGTATTTTGGGCTTCAGGTTCTATCTTTGGAGATCCACAGAAAACATCTTCCACTAACTGACGCATATTAGATTTTGTTCCTTCAAACTGTGATCGTGACCTTTTGTTACTTCTCATGTGTGTTGGAGTTTCACCTTGTTTGTTAGCAGAGATGAATGATGCTGTTTCCCTGTGGCAACCCCAAACAGTATATCCAGGTGAAAATCCGCTACAAACCAAGTGATCGTACACGTCCTCCCGCTTCTGTAACGATCCATTGACACATATGACACATGGGCAACGGATCTTGGCATCAGAACTTTTCCCGATGTACGCAAAGTCAAGAAAACCAGCAACACCAGCCAAGTATTCCTCACTTGGTCTAGGAGAAAGCAATAGCTCCTTTATAAATTCTAAATCCATTGATACACTGTAACAAAAGGAAATGTAGTTACTGCGCTGAGTGACAAGGGACAAAACTAACATGAACATGTCTTCCTATAATTCCTTAAACAGACTTGGTTTGGTCTTTATTGCAACAACAGACATAGATGGGTCGGATGGTCTAGTAGTACTAGTTTACTTCTACAAGGGTCCTATTTAGAACTTAAAAGAGAAGCACATCAGCAAGCCATGAAGCTGCCACTCTGAAACCTGATCTGGCTCGGTCTCAAGACATTGGAGAAGCCCGTTCGATGTCCAGTTTTTTAAGCCATATTACTAATAGACACTCCAATCAATAGATAAACAAATTGTAATAAAATACAAAGTAACCAGCAACTACAAATATACTATCAATTAGCAAGCACAAGATCCAGATATACGCAACTAGCAAACAGCAGCTCCAATCGGACAATCAAGACAATGTGAACAGCGGCATCATTTATCATATACACTAATAATTTCTAGTTCCTTTCCCTAATATTTCTAAGTCTAGTAGTTCACAAACTTCACAAGTACATATGACATAAAGATGCTTCTATTACCAGCGTCCTGGTCAGGAGCAGAGGGAGGCGTCGTCCTGCCTGGAGTTCTGAGAGGAGGGAGGCAACCGGAGGACGGCTGGAGTAGCTGGATTTTCGAGACCAGGCGATGGCGTCCCCTGGACGGCGGGGGTCGCTGGAACAGCACGCAGCAGTGCTGCAGCAGCTCTCGCGCGGTCGTACGGAGAGACACCGGCGTGTTGGTCCTGGGCTCCTTGTGGCGCGCGGCGGCGTCACCGCACCGGGCAAGGGCGGCGGCGGAAGGGGCGGTTGCGCCCTGTTGGAAGCGGCGGTGGAGGGGGAGTAGTGGATAGATTTCCACCAATTCACTTTTTTCTTTTGAGGAAACCTACCGTATTCACATGAAAAAAAAAATCGTTTTGCGGCCACAAAAAACGATGGGCTTTTTTTAGGGAAGAACGATGGGCTTTTCTGGAGACATGGGTTCAACAGTTTTTATAAAAACACTTGGCGTCGTTTAATTCTCAAAAATAAAAAACTTGGCTCAACCGTTTTTTTTATTGCCTGGACGGTCAATGTAACTAAGCCAACTGTCTAGGTCATCGATTCTGGTTTTTACTAGTCCAACCGCAGGTCCGTGTCCTCCAAAACCCTATTGTCTAATGTAGAAGCATCTCTAGCAGATTCCATAAATGAGGTCGTCCGCTATAATAATCGGGCCATCCACTATAAAAACCGTTGTTTTGTAGGGTCCTTCCTGTATCCCGACCCGAATAGATCCTCCGCCGCCCCCGACCTCGATGCTCCTTCACCGACGCGCCTTCTCCGGCCGCCGCATTACACCATGGAGTGCCCCCCATTCATCCCAAGATCATGCCGGCTGTTTGTTCTATTCTTGAGACCACGCCCCTCCTGCCATTGTCGCGCCTCACCGTGGTCGGGAAAATCCACACCGTCATGCCAGGGCAGCCGCGCCGTGGGCCGCCGTGTGTGTCGCTAAAGTCGTTCAGTAATTAAGAAGGAGTGGACGGCGCACCTGGCGGCGCGTCCACTGGCTGCTTGACCTCACGCATTGGTCCTAGTCGAGGCGACCGGCGCGGCATGCCACGAGCATCAACTAGTTGTGACGGCCGACGCTGTAGGCCAGGGAGCTGCAAGTCCATCGCTTAACGTCCTTGGAACGAGGATAGTAGATTGATTTGAAAGCCTCTCGGACATGTCCTTTCAACATCATTTGCGGTCGGTTGTCAGTCATAGCTTTCCCCCACACGGAATAGATTCCATGGGCAGTCGTGTGGGATGACGCGATCTTGGTCGAGGCGACCAATCAAGAGCAAGATCGGTCGGTCATAATACAATAATTTTCTTTAAAGAACCATCAAGGTCGCAGGTTTCCTTCTTTAGTACAACTGCAAGCACGCTCGTTTTTTAAACCGTGCGTGCACCTGGTATCCCCCCCCCTTATTCTCTATCGCCATGAAGGTGGAAGGAATGAGGAGGCTAGGTTGATCTGTCAGCCTCTCGGATATGTCGTTACAACACTGCCGGCGGTCGGTCATAGCTGACACATATCATCGTCGCCAATTTCGTAGCACCACCCCATGCTCTCAACACCGGTCAAAAGTCGTCAGCCTCGCGGGTTACAACATGCTCTCGGGCTGATTGCAACTTCTAGCATTGTCGGCCTTAGCTTTCTCCCACACCAGTCATAGCTTCCATGCGCAGTCGTGTGGGGATGACGTGATCTTGGTTGAGGCGACCGATCAAGAGTCATATCTGTCGATCGAGTTACAATATTTTTCTTTAACCAGCCATCGAGGTGTAGCTGGGATACCCCCCCCCCCTATGCTCTATCACCATGGATATGTCGTTACAACACCGTCGACGGGCGGTGGCTGCTGACGCATATCATCGTCGCCACTTTGTAGCACCATCACTTGTGCTCTCAGCATCGATCAAAAGTCGCCAGCCTCGTTGGTCACAACATGTTCCTGGACGGGTCGCAACTTCTACCATTGATGTTAGTCATAGTTTTGTCCCACACCGGTCATAGCCTTCATTGGAAGGCGTGTGGGAATGATACGATATTGGTCGAGACGACCGATCAGGAGCGGGATCTGCCAGCCGATCGCCGCTGTTAGAGCGAGAAACCATGTTATATGTTATTTAGCACATGTTACGTAAATCAATTTTATAAAGCCATTACTATTTATCTATATCTAATTTCCCTTTCAATCAATAAAATAATAAATACAATATACTCTATTTTTCCATGCCAAAAACACTTTTTGGAAAATTTATATTCCAAACAAATTAATAAATGTAACAATGTCCCGGTTCTTCCAAAACAATTTCCCTCCTGTTCTCATTGATAAAAATATATATATATCCAAATTTCCCTCCAGTTCTCGACCATGGCGCTTACTTTTCCCTCCAATTACTTTCGCGCTTACTTTTCCCTCCAATTAACTAGAAAACGCTAGATAAATTGGGGTCTCAAACCCATCCACATCCAGCCCAGCCGCCCATCGTTCGGCGGCTACCTCGCCGCACTCCAACGCAGCGGCCGCCACCTGCAACCACCCCCTCCCACCCCCATCTCAACCCCCGTAGGATCTGCCGCTTCCTCGACCTGCATCGGCGCCGCTTCCTCGATCTGTCCCAGCGCCGTTTGGATCGTTGCGGCGACGGCTTCGTCGGTCTTCAGCTCCGCCACCTACATCCTGAAGGAGCACGATCTCGTGGCTGGTATGGATCTGAACGCCCACCCTTTCCCTGATCTGACTGCTACGAATTCTCCGAGGTATGCTAGGTGAAACACCGCTATAGTGATGCAGGGGCGGGGACAGGGAGAGGCCAACAGGGGTTCCCCTGCCAATCGGTCGCTCCCTCAACAATTCGTAGCACACTGTGTACTGTAGATGCCTAATGGCCGCGGCTAATTGCATAATTAGCCCATACGTAGACAAATAATTAAGCAATCACATATGTTGAAAAGCCCATACCCCATGTAAGGTTGTGTCTGACTATAGTTTTGTGATGTGCCAATGCCTAATCCACTAATCAGGTCAATCCATTGATATACGTGTGTGTTCTACACTTCTGCTAGATCGATCCATTGACTATTGTTTAAATTTGATCAGACTTCTTGAGAAACTAGAAGTAAACGGTGCGCTTTGCTGCGCCCGCTCCAAGCTTTTTAACATGTCTAGTTTGCAATCTGGGCACACGAAACAAATCTGGGCTCATTCGGCTCCTTCGTCATTTTCTTTGATGCCCTAAGACTATCATGATCAAACCCAACTCTGCTCTTCGATTCGATGCAGCCGACCTACTTTAACAGTTTCGCCTGCGTAAATTGAACCATTAGGATAAAAAATGACTGAAATTGCGAACAGAGAAAATGCTTAAGATTTGCACCATCACCTGATGATCCTATGTACTTTCAATTTCCCTTCTGTTTAGGGAAGCAGTGAACATCATCAGGTCCTGTACACTTTTCAACTTAAACCTGTCCTGAATCCATATGTAGACAGCATTATATCTTAGTGTGGGTGTGGCTGGACCCATGGTCTTGTACCTCATCTCTCTGTTTTAAGTTATGATAAGCTGATAGTACATTGATGTGCTACTGTGTACTTCCCTGCCATCTCCATTCACATGTCTATTGGCAAATTAAATTGTCCCTATTATGTCATTAGTTAATTTGTCTTTACTTGTAATGATTTAATTGACATTTTTATATATAACTTAGGATGGCGACGGACATGTTGACCATATACCTACACTATGAAGATACAAATCAGGAAGCCAAAATTTTACAAAGATCCATGATGAGACGTGATGTCTCATATTACGACTTAATCTTGATGATCGAAGAAGTTGGCTTTCAGGCAATTGACTCTCTGTACTATGCGGAAAAAAACCCGTCTAGGCAGCTCCTACTTAGTTCACATTTATGATTAAGGTCTTGTGATGAAAATGTTGTCCGACCCTGAGATTGTGAAAGTTGTCCATCTGTATGTGTCTAAGGAGAAGGCTGACGATCATATTGCTCCGCCTAGCAAGCAAATTGATGTTGCTCCATCTAACCATCCAAATGAGAGTATTCTCTTACAGGACGGTGGTGTCTCTACTGAAGGGGCAGGGCAACTTACTATGCAAGGGCCGCAAAGTATCCCTCTTGAACCATGCTTATTACATATCTGTATCTACTGTTGTAATTATTGGAATAAAAGATGTATGGTTGTTCTGCAGGACCACCACGTAGGTCAAAAAGGTTGAATATGATTCAGGTTACAGACCAACGTGATGATGAAGATGGAGACTGCAACAATGGTGAGCAATTCCCACAAGGTCATGAATCACAAGCATTGGTCGATGAAGAGGGTCAAGTTCACAATCAAGGTAACAACCTATCACATTTTGTGCTTCTATTAATTAACTTGTATATGCTTAGTATCGAAAGAATAATCGGCGGGCGTCATTTCATTAGTACTTTTCTTAATTAATCTTGTAGTAGACAAGGAAGTACGCAAGCGCAAGAGAACAAGCTTGCCAATTGTCTGGAACATGCCAAAGGAACAGAGAATAGTTGTGAAATGCAATGAAGATAGCCAGCCTATAGGAGATGAAGGTGCAATCTTGGGGAAGTTTCTGGGCATGGTTGCTAGAAATGGAGGATTTTGCCCACTAAACATAAATGATTGGCGTCATGTCAAAAAGAATAGTGGTGAGGAAACAATATTGCAGTGCATACAGGTACTTCACAATTAACAAGAAAACAAATGTTATTTGCTGCCCTTCTATTTATATCTAATTTGTCTACATGAGATGTAGTGTGGTTTGCATGTCTATTTACATCCATTCATTATTTTGTACTTTCAGACAAAGTTCGTGTATCCTCGATCATGTGAAAAATGGATACTCAAATCAATTGGAAGAGACTGGAGGAAATTTAAGTCTAGTTTGAAAGATGCTTTCTTCAAACCCGCCATTGAAAAAATCCAAACATCAAGCGAAAGGCTTTGTATAAGCTCTGTCCAGAAGATGTGGACAACGATCAATGGCGTGGGCTTGTTAAATATTGGAAGTCCGAAAAAGGAAGGGTAATGAATGAGATACTGTACTTCCCTGTTTTGACATTTAAATGTGAGTTCTCGGGCTTATCTTAAAAGTTGCATTCACGATATGATTACATCATAACAGGCTCTTGCTGAGAAGAACATAATTAGTCGTTCCCTCGTGAAGGATTCACATAATGCTGGCACAAAGAGTTATGCTTGTTGGGGCGAAGACATGGTGAGTAATCTTGATTCCTGAAGTGTTTTCCTGTGTCTCTTTTGTCATATGGGTGCTGTTTCTGTTTTATAGAGGCAAGCTGATCCTGAAAAGAAACGACCACACAGATCAAAGGTTTATTTAGCAACTCACAAGAAGAAGGACGATGCTGATGCTAAAAATAAAGATAGAAATAAGCGCCTGGTAGGCAATTAATATAGAAATTGTCAAATTGTTCTCGGGATCAAGTTATGGTTCAGTCTAACTAGTGTATGCATGATTCTTTTCTTATAGGATCGATTGGAGAATCTAATAACCGAACAACCAGAGTTGGCACAAAATTTGAATGGAAGAGTCGCATGGGAAGGTGATGCCTTGCAGGAAGTGTTAGGGAAAGAAAAGATTGGACAAGTGCATGGCATGGGTTTGCTTCCAACTCCTAAGCAAGTCTACGGTCGGACGCCACGGTATCTAAAGAACATCAATATGACTACAACTGATGGATCACTATATGAAGTTGAACATGATGTTTGGGAGGTAATAGCAAAGATGAAGGAGCATATAAAAAAGCAAGACCAGATTATTAAAGATATGAATAACAAAGAAGGCTATGTCAATAATGGCATAGAAGAGGTAAAGGACTTCTTTATCCCACCCTTTACATGCATTTCTATCAATAGTTTACTCAGATTTGTTAGTTCTGTAGGAAAACCTCCAATCAAATGATAATGGTATTTCTCGGTCACCAGTACTGCTTGGTAAAACAAAGGTAATGTTAATAAATGCCTACATCATTGCTTGTCACTTGAAACCTTCATATTAATATTTCAGTTTGCAGAGAATCCAATGCAATGGACTCGTTGAGGCACGCTCGTCTATGCAACATGACATTCCTGAGGATAATAATTTATCACGTTCGCATGAAAAGGTTATGCCTGTAGTTACTCTTACTCATGTCACAAAGATAGAATATAAAATAATTGCTTGCTTACCATTGTTGTGTCATGGAACTAGGTTGGCGACCATGATGTCAACCAATTACAAATTCAACAAAATTCATCATCACCACAAGACCTTGTTATTGATTCTGTGCTAGAGGTAATTTTCGTGCCTTTTGAGTTTTGAAGTTGTAGCAATCTGTAGCTTCAAGGTATGAATATCATTCCATCTAATATTATTGTATCTTGGTAGGTGAGGGAAACGAGGAATATTACGGGTGAATCTGTTTCAAAACCGAACCAGCAAAGGACTAGAACTGAACACCCACACCGCTCAAAAAGAAGGCGTTCTTCTTCCATCAAGGTAAAGATTCACCAAGTAGCATGGTTTACTACACCCAAATTACCAACCCAAACCCTCATTATCATGCCTGCTTGAAAAATGGATTTTATTACAATTTTTGCTCAATCTGCTGTATGCAAGTAAACGATAAATTTAACCAAGCATGAGTTAGTGAGGTGACCTTGGGCATTAGACTTCGTTGCGGGGTCCAGTTTATTTAGTTTCTTAGGGCACCTTACTGGGTTGACATTAAAAAGATCTCATATTATTCATGCAAATTATATTATCATGTCATAGAATGCTAATATTGATCATAATATAGGCTGCTTCCAAAGTAGTCTTAAAGACTTCAACATATCCCAACAAGCGGAATGTTGCGTATGGTACTATTCGGAGTACTGATCCAAGAACTAAGGCTGGTGGTATTGAGTTAGGTGCTGAATTTGCTCTTGTGCGCATAGACGAACCTATTCTTGATAATGAGGAGTTGGTAAGGGAAGTTTCTGATTGCAAGACAATTGGCGAGGCTTTCACTTCAGGATACTTAATTGCCTGGCCTTCAGCTTTTGTAAGTTAGAATCTTCCCTTCCACATTCTGAAATCATATTTGTGTACATTTAATCACACATATCTAAGGTGCAATTTTCTTCTACAGATTCGAGAGAAGGATGGTTGATTTGCAGCTGAATTCTTGGATCAAGAAGCAAATAAAATCTGAAGATTTTAGCTACAATAGTTGTAGTTTACATTGATAGATTTAAAAGTGTAATATCATCCAGAAGATCTTTTTCTTTCATCGAATTGATGCAAATGCGACAGTGTAATATTCCCCATAGTTGTGTTTTCTATCCTCAAAATTATATGACTGATATCTTTATTGTAATGCATATGTATCATACACTCTTCTATATTCGTAATAAATATCTTCATACGAATTTCTGTATGTGTTCTGCTTAAGTTTAAATATCATTTTGATATGCTGCCAAGCATAATAATAAAATGATTAAGAATTTATGCAATTGCATTTATTTTATAAAATAAATTTATATTCCATAAAATGGGTATCCAATTTTGTGGTTACTAATAAAAAACAAATACATTAATTATGTTACCATATTGATATAGTAGTGTTACTGATGGTGTTACTATAGCTACAAAATTTGTTACTAGAGTAGTTGACAACTATAATTATAGTGTTACGATACATGGATATTATGTTACTAGTTGTGTTTCGATGCTAAAAAAATGTGTTACCAGTTGTGTTACGATAGTTACAGAAACATGTTACCACCGATGTTCTACGTCTATCAAAATATGTTACTATCGGTGTTACTATAATTACAAAAGTGTGTTACCGGTGTGTTCTGTAACACATAACACACATGTTACTATAATGCAACTGTAACACATATTTTAAGATATGGTAACAATTATTATGTGTGACAGTTGACACCACTTAGTAACACGGTCTAATGGAACACATTTCAAATTGTGTTACTATATGGCTAGTAACACACTTTTGGACCTGTAGTAACACAAGACGGTGTTACAAAAGGTCTGTGCTCTTGTAGTGTCCCCGGCTCCGCGTCGTCCCCTTCCTAGGCCTCGTCGTCATCCAGACCACCGCCCTGGTGCTCTCGGCGCGGCGTGGTCAACGTGGTCAACGACCGACTTCCATCGGAAGAGTACTGTACGTGGAGAGGCTCACAGCTGGGTCCAAGCGGCCGCAAGGAAGTGCCTCCTTATTACGCGCAAAATAATTATTCCTCCACCTGATAGCAGGGACCCACCGGACGGGCCACCTTATTTCGTGAAAAAAAGTTCCCCCTAACTGCTGGGACCCACCGGATGGGCCAGCGTATTTCGTGAAAAAATGTTCCCCCCTCTGTCAGCTCGGACCCACCGGAAGTGCCTCCTTATTACGCACAAAAAATGAATACTACCCCTGCTAGCTGGGCCCCACCATGGTGGGAGGCTGACTTGTGGGCCTACCAAGTTGACTGGGATAGGAGCCTTTGTCAACTTTAGTCAATATGAAAGATTCTAGCTCCAGTGACCGTACGATGTCCATCCAACGGCCGTAGTGCTTCTTCAACCTCTGGTCTTCTTGCTCCAGCCGCCCAAAGCAGCACCGGTCGTGCCGCATGCTCCTGCCTCCCGTGGCCGGCTGTGCTGCCGCGGAGGCCTCACCGCCCCTACTATTCCCACTGCTGGCCAGGCCCTGTGGCGACGGCAGCTTCACACCGCAGCCGAACCAGTGAACCCTCGTACTCCTCTCCGCGCGGGCTTCCACTGCCGCATCTTCTCCGGCTCCCCGTCGTCCCCTTCCTAGGCCTCGTCGTCGTCCACCGCCCTGGTGCTCTCGGCGCGGCATGGTCAACGTGGTCAAGAAACGACTTCCATCGGACGTGGACTGTACGTGGAGAGGCTGATAGCTGGGTCCACGGCCGTAGCAAGGAAGTGCCTCCTTATTATGCAGAAAATAATGATTCCTCCACCTAACAGCTGGGACCCACCGGACGGGCCACTGTATTTCACAAAAAAACATTTCTCCCTGACTGCTGGGACCCACCAGCTACATCTTCGCACGCAAGGAATTGCGTCCGGGCAAAAAAAAACGATTCGCCCCCTGGCTGCTGGGACCCACCAGCTACATCTTCGCAGGCAAGGAAGTGCCTGACAGTCGATACCCACCTGGTCGAAGCATACGTAGCGTTGTCATTCTGGTCGCGAACGTGTACGTACATACTGGTGGATGTAGAGGCGCACACGTGTCGTAGTAGAGGCGGCCAGGGTGCAAGAAAGAAAATATGGCCACGTATGTGTACATACGGGCGGGGTCTCGAACGCCTACTCGCGCATACGTACGGCGAGGGCTCGTTGACATGGCTGGGTCGGAACGGGAAATAGCGTCGTCGTCGTGTTCATGCGGAGGCAACGGAATGCTCGTGTTCATGGGGAGGTAACGGAATGTGTCGTGTTCATCGGGAGGCAACGGAACGCGTGGGAGCCAACCAGCTGGGTCGGAACGAAATGCGTGGTCGTGTTCATCGGGAGGGCTTGGACGGAACAGGCGATGGAAACGAGGCCTGGCGTACCGCACAACGGAGGAAACGGCCTTGTGTTTGACCGGCCACATTCAAAACGGGATCATGTTCATCGGGAGGGGTGTGGCGTACCGCAAAACGGAGGAAACAGACCTCCTACGGTCGAAACGGGGGTCCTGTTGATCGGGAGGGGTGTGGCGTACCGCAAAACAGACGAAACGGACTTGTGTTGGAGCGCTACGGTCGAAACGGGGGTCCTGTTCATCGGGAGGGGTGTGGCGTACCGCAAAACGGGACTCCACGGGATACTGTTCCTCTCCACCGTCGACCTCCTCCAGCCTCCACGGGCTCCTGTTCATCCAGCCTCGACGGGCTCCTGTTCATCCAGCCTCCACGGGCTCCTGTTCATCCAGCCTCCACCGCGCGCTACTCCACCGGCTACTGTTCAACCACCCCTCCACCATCTACTATTCATCCAGCCCTCCACAACATGGGGTCTTGTTCAACCACCCCTTCACGGGCACCCCTCCACCGTCTACTGTTCATCCAGCCCTCCACACCACGGGGTCCTGTTCAACCACCCCTCCATGGGC